AGGGTGGGGTGGAGTAGGAGCGAGAAGAGTTGGGCTGGGGTGTGGCATTGGTGGAAGGTTTGGAGTGGGGGTGGGGGGTAGGGTTGAGCACCCCCAGGGACAATTGGAAACCAGCATCAGTCATTAGAAACATGCCAGATCCCCACACAGGGAAGGGAGGGCTCCTGAATCATAAGCACAGGAATCCAGCTGTCGGAGACCATGGTGTAACTCGGCATGTGCATTGCTGACATGTGAATAACTATTTACTCTTTGCAGAGTCACAGACACAGAGATATGAGAGATGGAAAAGCCCCATTAGTTCAGGGAATCCATGGCCCTGGGACCAGGGCAAGGCCTCTTTTCCCCCATTCTTCCTAAATCCTTTCCCTGGCACCCCCTGTTTGTGTCAGATGGGACTGAGGCTTGGTCTACACTAACCCCGAAATCGAGCTAAGGTACGCAACTTCAGTTACGTGAATAACGTAGCTGAAGTTCGAAGTACCTTAGTTCGATCTTACCTCGGTCCACACGTGGCAGGCAGGCTCCCCCGTCGACTCCGTGGTACTCCTCTCGTCTAGCTGGAGTACCGCAGTCGACGGCGAGCACTTCCGGTTTCGACTTATCGCGTCCAGACAAGACGCGATAAGTCGAACCCAGAAGTTCGATTGCCTGCCACCGAACTAGCGGCTGGGTATAGACGTACCCTGAGATTCTTTTCTCTCTCTCTCTCCTCTAGGATGTCAGAAGCACCTTGAGCAGGTACATGGCTCTCTCATTCCCCCTCACACTTCACAACGCTGGGAAAGAGCTTGGTGGTGATGTTAGCACTGCATCTCCAGAGGGCTCTACAGCCAAATGTGTGGGGAAGGTCACATGTTGGATTTAAATCTCTCTGATCAACTTCATCCTGAGGTCCTCACACTTGCACAGAAGACTCTGGAATTCTCCGTTCAGTGGGAAAGATTGACCTCAAGTATTTCCTAGAGATGTCACATCCCCGGGGGGACGGGCTGACTCAGGATTGTGGGGATGGAATATGGGCCTGTCACTGCTGGAGCCCTGGTCACCATTCAGCCAGGCCAGCAGCCTGAAGGCTGTTTGGAAACCTGTGTGGAATGAGCTGGAGATAGGGGAGTTGGTGTCTCAGTCTAGTTCCTAGTGGTCAGATTTCTATAGCACTTCACCCAGGAACTTCCTGTCCCTCAGAGCATGGAGGCCAAGGAGTGAATTGGCCATGGAGACTCAATTCCCACTTTATCCCCAGAGCTG